TTTTTTGTATAGTTAACCCATGTCAATGAAATTATCAAAATTTTTATTCTGGAATTTATTTTTAATTTTAAAAATCTACAACTATTTTGTTTAACCATTGACGACAATCCATACCCATGAACCGCCATTGATGAAGATGGAAAATTTAGCGAGAAATGTAATTATGATATGCAGCGAGAGCTATAAACTCCATGTTCGAGCGATGGGGCATTACGGCAAATGATCAATGGAATATTAGCGGTGAATTATGCAGCGGCGATGCAATTGATGACGGCGTCCACATCCAGAACTTCAATCCGGGGATCAAATGTGACTTCTCTGACAATAATGCCACCACTTACCACATTACTGCTCTGTAAGTAATATATTTTCTTAATGCTACGTTATTTTAGTATACCAAACTGATTATTGGAAATTTGAATATGAAATTGGTTATGACCAATTCCTAATTATTTAAGTGAAGTTGTTATTTAGTGAATGGAAATTAAGTCAAATTTAAATCACTTATACACATGAATTATTGGAAAATGACGTAGAGTATTCTAGAAATTATTTGGCTGAAAGGTGTTTTTCTATACAAAAGATTGTGACTTTTGACATTATTATTTTTCAAGAGATGTGTATTTTCAAATATAGATATCAATTTCAATAGTTGCGTCTCTTCCAAAGGGGTTGTCTTTTAAGACAAACATTTTCAACATTTATGTATATACCACATGTATGGAAGTTTCATTCATTCACTTCATGATTGCATTATCATACTAATGCATATTTGTTCACTTCAAAATTCTGCATTTGTTCAAAGTCAAATTTCATATAAAGAGCATCAAAGCATAAGTAGTTTGTTGGTCTACGTAATTTGGAGTGTTCCTATTGCAAGATGTGGTCGTTGTATCTTGGAAAAGGTATGCCAGAAAACTGTTAGCACCCATGCGGGTTATTATCATCTTAAAAAAAAAAAAAAAAAAGAGTTGAACTTATGTCTTGACCAAATTCATATTCATGGATTTCTCGCTTCTACTCTACGTATTCGATTTTGGTAAATCAAAGTCTATCCGATTTTATGCACATAAAATGTATGTTATTTGAATATAATTTATGCCCGAATATATTTTTCTAACAATCATAAGACAATATTATATTATATTTACAATGGAAATTATGATGTTGCATGAAAAATTCCTAAAACAGATGGTTTATATACACCACGTATTTTTCATATAGTACAACAATTTGAAATTACTCAGATTTTGCCCATATATATTTGTAACGGTAAGTCTCTTTAGTTCTATGTTTATATCCATGCATGAAAATCATTCGAAGGCAGTTTATCGAATTTGCATTGCGTCTTTTCAAATTTGCATTGAAGGCAGTTAGTTGTTGAAGACTAGAATTAATTTGCTACTGTTGCTTTGAAGTAGTTTATTATTATTATTTTATTTTTTCACGTCTCTTTGGCAATTTAAAATGAAAGGGCTAGGGTTCATTGTCTTCTTGTTGTTTACAGTAAAACAGATTGTATGTTTTACATAATGTCATGTCCACCGCTATTAGTGCATGTATGCTTCTTGGTATGTGCATACATTTAGTAGAAGAATTCTAGAAATGCTCCTTGCATGATTTCTTTTGTGAGCATTCCATCCATGTTTGGCAAACAAACAATGCTTTATGTCATGAAAATATTGCCCCTAATATGTTTGGCACCGTGCCTTTGCGAAGCCCCATTTTGTGTGCACATGATGAAGGTAATCTAAAGAGATTTTGACGCAACAAAAGAAAGGAATTCAAGTGAAAACTTTGTGATCAAGAAATTTGGAATTCACCAAATTAAAGAGAAATAAACTTCATGAAATTTATTAATGAATAAAATGGAAAAAACGAACTAACCCTTTATTTATGAGGGTTTACATGGAATTGTAGTTTAACACAACTAAAAGTAATGAAAACGAAGTTTAATCTAACTAAAATTGTAAAAAAATGAAAATAAACGAATTGACAAAAATAGCGCCAAAACTTTAAAAATCAGTTTTTGAGACCTAAACGAACTCGAATCGCCGAAATTCATCGTACATGAAAGTTAGCAGTGAGTATTGTTTCCCTCATCGTTCTCTTTCTAAAATGGTCGTATGGGATCGGTCCGGAGTCAAGATGATGTTCTATTTCTACTAGTAGTCTTTTTTAAATATACTCATTATGTCCTACATCAGTCCCTTCCACCTTCTAAGAACTCGATCCCGAGTTATAATCTGGATATAAAGGCTTATCATCTTTATAGAACTCATACAAATCTGCCACATTGAACGTACGAGAAATACCCATAGAATCTATCAAATCAATAATGTAGACATTGTTATTAATCCGTTTAAGCACTTTGAAAGACCCATACTTTCTTGGTTTCAGCTTATTGTAAGTACCAACGAAAAATATCTCTTTTCTCAAAAACACCATTACCAAGTTCCCCTCTTGAAATTGTTTATCCCGTCGATGTGAATTTGCTGCTACCTTATACTTTGCATTAATTTTCTCTAACTTCCATTTTACCTCATCACGAACTGCTAAGACTTCCTCTGCCAGATGTTCAGCAGCAACACTTTTATTATCACCTTTAGGCAATTTCACCAAATCCACCACATGGTAAAATACCTCTGTATACACAATTGCAAATGGAGACTAGCCTATAGCAGTATGAACTGCGCTGTTGTACTCGAACTCCACTTGAGGTAGTGCAAGATCCCACTGTTTAGGTTTATCTCCATAAACACTTCGAACCATGTTTTCCAAGGGTACGGTTAGTAATCTTGATTTCTCCATCAGTTTGGGGATGGGCAGTGCTGCTTCGATTCAAATTGGTTCCAAATAACTTCCACAAAATAATTCAAAAGTGCCCCACAAATTTTGTATCCCGATCTGATGTGATAGACTTGGGAACCCCATGCAGTCTAACAATCTCCCTGAAAAACAGTTTGGCAATATGTGATACATCTGAAGTCTTTCGACAAGCTATGAAGTGCGCCATTTTGGAGAACCTGTCAACCACCACAAAAAACAGAATCTATGCCTCGTTGAGTATGAGGTAATCCCGAAACAAAATCCATAGCGACAGGAAGTGGCATATACAACCCAATATTCTGCACTTGACCCTTTGATACTTGACAAGTATAACACCTTTTGACAATAATTCCAACATCCCGCTTCAACTGTGCCCAATAATACCGAGCCTCCAAACTGGCTATTGTCTTGTCACCCCCAAGTGTCCACTTAGACCTCCACCATGCAGATCTTGAATCAATTTTTCACGTAGAGAAGAAACAGGAATACAAAGCTCGTTGCCTTTGAACAAATACCCTTCATAATATAAAAATCCACCATTAATTCCCAATTTACACACTTACTCCAAATCTTCTTAAAGTCGGGATCATCTGCATATAGTTCTTTCAAGCACTCAAATCCAACAATTTCTTGTGACAATGTGATCAATAAAGAAACTCTCCGACTCAGTGCATCCGCAACTTTGTTTTTACTTCCAGATTTATATTTAATCACAAAAGGAAATTTTTGGAGGAAAGTCACCCACCGAGCATGCATCCTGCTGATATGTTTCTCACTATCAATGAATTTCAAGGCTTGGTGATCAATGAACAACACAAACTCATTTTGTATCGGGTAGTGTTCCCATTACTTCAAAGCCATCACAACTGCATAGAATTCTTGCTCATAGGTACTCCACTTCTGCCTGACATCACTTAATTTTTCTAAAAAGAAAGTCACGGGTCTCTTCTCTTGAGAAAGAACAGCCCCAATACTAATACCACTAGCATCACACTCTATCTCAAAGATCTTCTCGAATCTTGGCAAAGCTAATACTGGAGCTGTGCACAACTTTTCTTTGATGAAGGCGAAGCTCTTATCTTGTTCCTCTCCCCAACCGAACCTTCCTTTCTTCAAACATTCTTGGGAGATGCCACAAAAGTACTAAAATGCCTGATAAATCGTCTGTAGAAAGTTGCCAAACCATGAAAACTCCTCACTTCAGAAGCCGACTTTGGTGTTGGCTAATCTCGAATTGCTTTTATCTTGTCTTCATCTATATGCAGACTATCTTCACTAACCACAAAGCCTAAAAACAATAGTTTAGATGTACAGAAGGTGTACTTCAAATTGATGTACAACCGATTTTCCTTTAGAACCTCCAGAACTTACCTCAAGTGAACTAAGTGATCCTCCTTAGACTTACTGTAAATAAGGATATCATCAAAGTAAACCACAACAAAAGATCCAATAAAAGGACAGAGGATCTGGTTCATCATCCTCATGAAGGTACTTGGAGCATTTGAAAGTTCGAATGGGCATCACCAACCATTCGTAAAGTTCATCCTTACTCTTGAAGGCAGTCTTCCATTCATCCCCGGGTTTATTACGGATTTGGTGATAACGACTGCGAAGATCTATTTTTGAGAAGACCTTAGAACCCCCAAACATATCTAACATATCCTCCAACCTTGGAATGGGAAACCTATACTTCACTGTTATCTTGTTGATGGCACGACTGTCAACACACATACGCCACTTTCTATCCTTTTTTGACACTAGAAAGACAGGTACTGCACACGGACTCATACTCTTTCTTATGAACCCTTTTCTCACAGCTCCTCAATTTGCTCATTTAGAATCTCATTCTCCTTTGGACTCATTCGGTAATGAGGCAAGTTTGGAAGGCTAGCCCCAGGCACCAAATCAATCTGGTGCTGGATATTCCTCATAGGGGATAACTCATCAGTAATTCATCGTAAGTCAAGTCTTCAAATTCTGTCAATATTTCTTGTACCTCAGACGGTAAGGAAACTCTCAGTTCGTTGATGGGCAGACTTATCCGCCTGTGTGAGAGGAACCATAGCGATCTTATGACTGCCCCATGAAAATAGTACTATATTATGACGCCCTTTGAGAGTTGAATCAATATCAAACTGCCATGGACGACCTAATAAGATATGACAAGCATCCATGTCTATGACATCACACATATTTTTATCCTTATAGTGCTTATCAATGGAAATAGGTACTTTGCAAGTTTTAGTAACTTGAACAGAAGGACCTCTCTTTACCCAACCAAGTGAATAAGGTTTAGGATGACTCTCAACTGGTAATTTCAACAAATCCACCAATTTTTTCGACATAAAGTCCTCACACCTTCCATTGTCCACAATCACTTCACACACTTTATTTTTAATAGAACAAAGAGAATAGAAGATGCAATGACGTTGACCCTCTTCCTTAGGTGCTAAAAGGATTCGTTGCAGTACCAAGGTGAGCCTTTCTACTCCTTCCTCTACTGCAAATTCTACTCCCGCATACTCA